AGGACACCGTGCACAGATGGTACCATCTGTACTTCCTCTCTCGCCCCCGTTATACACCTATCTGCAGACTCATCAGCATCTGCTTATATTTTTTCACTTTTCCTTTGTAATCCATTCATGCCTTTTATTTAGATGTCAAGCTCTCGGAAGCCGCAAAATCAGGTATCTTTGTTGAAATAAGACATGTTCAACAAAAATGGAATGTGTGCAAATAGCCTTCTTTTCAAAGTATTTCAGACCCAATGCAATGAAATTGGATGACAGCGCACACACGCTTCCCGACAGTTACATAAACTCAGCTGTTAAAATGACACGCCATTATATAACAGGTGAAAACAGGGGCTACAAACCTGACATCGCAGCACGCTGACAGGGCCTTAAAGGTAGATATTTAGGAAAAGCTGTGGTATGGCATAAGAAGCCAGTATTTGACACTCCACTAGAATAAAGCAAGCTTCACTTTTCTAGCATTTTATATGTTTTAAATGAGCCATCATACTAGTATGGAATAAAGTGGAATATTGTTCTGATTGCTGCCTCATCTTAGAGCAGAACGTCTTCTCATACACTTACATCAAAACTGTGCAGACAGTTTCACAGGAGTTTAAATCCGGTTACTACTGCCCAAGGAAGATAAGGCTGCCCCAAACTCCGTTTCAGTCAGTAAAATTCTGAGAACCTTATAAATTGTTCCAGAGCTTCATGCCACTATACTTAGGCACTGATTTTTTGGAGTGACAAGGTGCAGTACCAATGTGGTGCTACCAAGCGGCTGTATTAAAGCCAGTCAGCAATTCTCAAGAGGACAGATTGCATATAGTAAATACAGCCCAATTAGCTGAAGTGTCCGGAAGTTATTACTGAATTAGCTATATTCTAATGTTTCTCATCAGTAGTATTTTCATTAGGTTTGGAGGAATTCAAGTCCTATTTTTATGCCTTGTGCAAGGCTTGAATTACATGACTGAAAAATAACTGATTCAGAGGCAAAGAAACAAATTCTATTTATTTTTCACTTCATTAACTCCAAAATCAGCCCTCTGTTCTTAAGCAACATTACTCCAAAACAAAGTTTAAACACATGTGAATGTGAAAACAATGCTGATCTGTAAGTTAATGAAAGTCCCCTCTTTGATCCCCTCTATCCAGAAGATCTTTTCTGCTAATCAGAATCAAAGACACTGCCATCTTCAAGTTCAAAATTAGGTCCCCTGCACGGTTTAAAGGAGCTACCAGGAGTGCAATATATACAGCTCCATTAAAGAGAAATTCAACCACAGCACATGATAAAGACGGCTTCAGTTTAGAATATTTTGGGAAATAAAGAATTTACATTTATAACCCCAGAACTCTGTAATACTTCTACCTATAAATTTACCTTAATATATTACCTAAAGAACAATGAACGTGTACTACTTGCATTTCAAAATATAATGTTAATGTAAGGACTGGCCATTTAGGATCATTAAGTTATTATTACTAAGTTATCAGCATGAAAATATGTAGAACAGAAATGTGAGCTTGTGATTAAATATACCATAGCTATTTGCAAAACTAACCAAATCATAAACCACTATAAATAAAGTTATCAGAAAAGGGAAATTTTTCAAAGCTATGCAAGCAAGAGCAAAACATAGCTTAGGGTTAGCACAGCAATCTCTCATAATGGGATACTTTAAGTCAAGTCTTGGACTAGATCCACATTCTATCTGGTATGCCGCTGGGAAGAGTCGGGCTGGAAAAGCAAGTAAGATGTAGGCATGCTGGTAGTATAACGCAAGATGGTTCATACAACACTCGCCTATACTATATTCTGCTCAAGGTAGAGCGAAGGGTCATTGTAAGCAGAAGTTTAAGTAAACACTCAATGTTGAAATCAAGACGACATTTAAAAAAGCATGGTATGTGCCAGCAAAGGAAGTGGGCTTTTGATTTTGAAACTTCATCTGAAAGATGAAAAGAATCCACATCTTCATAGCATGAAGATAATTTGTAGCTAGAGACCATGCTAATTTTCATTATCACTTCATTGATTTCTATGCATTTAATATGCTTGCCTGCAGCTAGTATAGATGACAGACAGTTTTACTTGGGAATTGTCCCGAGTTTTGAAAAACTCAATTCCTCTCTAGAGAGCTTTTTCATGTACATATTAGTCATTTCAGAGCTTACTGGGTATGTGCTAGCCTTCTCCTGAAGCAGAAGTGCTTTGCCTGCCCCACCTGTAGCTACCACATTGTGCTGGTCATCTCCTCCCTGTGACATTCCCCAGAGATTAACTGCAAGCAAGGCACAATTCTGCAATCATATGCACACTCAATTTGACACAATAGAAATCCCAAAGACAACAGATCAATGAGTGTGCAAATGTAGGCACATGCAAGAAGAGTTACAGGATTAGAGTCTCTTAATGTTACAGTGCAAAGTATTTCTGGGATCAATTTTTATTTTGTTGAAGCAAGACCTCCAAGGGTGAGGAATTTAAATATTTTACATTTTATTAAGTAAAAAACTGAAGTCTTGATTTTTACAGTTTGATTTGTTTTTTCAAGTAAAAAGCAGTCGTTTTAACTCCCAAAATTTTTTTTCCAGGCTAGAAAAGTGTAAGAGACTAATGGCAAACCATACAACCTATCAGTAAGTAATTTCTCTTATCATGCCAATATTAAAATTTATTTTTAAAAGTAAAACAAATCTGCATGTTTATAGAAATAATTTTCTTAACTAAAAAGTCAGACTTTATTCATGCAGTATGCCACTACTACATGTTTCGATAGAATTCTTTATTAAAAACATGGATCGGAGAAGTCATTGAGAAAATACATTGCTTTCAACCATGCATCATCAGCAAGTTAATAATATACAGACATTCTGTTTATGGGAAACACTCAATTCTTTATGCTTTCAAAGTAAGCCACTTCTTTGCTTTTCCATTACCAAACTTAGGCAAGTCAAGAGCTGCTGACTCATTAGAGACAATCACTAACGTTTCCTATGGAACAGCAAAGAGTCACTTGACATTCTAATACCAAAGCATATTGCATCTTCAAGGAACACAAAACAAGCATGGTTTGAAAGTAATTGTTTTCATTATTGGTTATATTAGGCAGTTCAGCAACAGCTTACATCAGTCTAAACCGGTGTGGCTGCAGTCCACCCAGTCTTATTCTCACCTCAACGTGCCTATCCAAGCACTTGTTTGACCCTGCGGTGAGCTGGTTCAGGAAGTTAAGCTGGCAAAAAACTAACCGTACAAAAATAATCCCACAGGGAGGGCAGGGCTGATTTGGATAGGCTGGCTAGGACTGTTATTTAACTATATAAATCATTTATGTATTTCTCCCCCTGCCTCCCCAAACAAGATGTAAAAACAAACCTATTACTGCTAGACCAGGAATAAGGGAAGTAAAGATACATGAAATGGCTACTTCTCCATGAAATCACAACCTCTTGTTTTTACAAACATTCAACAAAATACTGTCAGATTGCAAAGCATTCCAAGAAATAATTGATTAGAAGAAGCTATTTTCGATCACCAAAAACCTGCTTGAAGGACTTACCAGAAACATTAATTGATGTTCCTGCATCGATAATTCCACTGTTAGGCCTTACACAGTATCTACGTGGTGCTGTGGTCTTAACTTTGAAGCACACATTTCTGTCTGTAGGATTGCCGAGTTTCAGGTTTGTAGTGACAACATCTGTGAAAGGACCTGAGGAGGAGAGCAAAAGCAGACTTGACATCACACAGAAAATACTTTGAAGCAGAGGCTAAGCAGGCTCTAAATCTCTGTTCCCAAATCTTATAAAGTAATTAGATGTTCAATTTCCATCTATGGCACGTACAGATAACCGTGCACACAAAGCGGAGGATGCAGTGAGGCCTCTGAGCATTCTGACGTGCAGCATGCTCCAACGTTGCTCACAGCGCAACAGCTGAAGTTGATCATTAATAGCAAAACAAAAGGGGGAAGTCATTTATACGTGGTGCCAACACAACAACATGGCACTCAAATGACACCTAATTCTCTGCCGTATCACAGTCACTCCATTCTAACTACTGAATCCCAGTAAACCCAGGCTTACTGAGAAATACCGTATATACCTATGTTATAGATGATAAATAGGGGAATACAGTACGTTAACCAGAAAGGGAATGATAACAAAGTGGCTCCTGCAGTTTCACCTGCATATGCAAGCAGTACCTCCACAGAAGCAAGATTCCACCAGGTATTCAGAAACGCCGTACCATAACCAGCAAGATAAGTATTCGGTGTGCATCCTCTTTTCCTACCAAGTATTTTTTTTTTTTTTTTAATAATTCTCTTGGCTACTAGAAATGATAAACCAGAAGAAATCTTCATAAAAAGCCTACCTCACCCAAGACAGGAAATAACCATGTGGAAATAGGAAAATTCTTGGATGCTGAGAGCACTGGCAAAAAGATTTCTATATTAGCAAAGCCAGAACCAAACCATTATCAACTTCTGCAACACCAAGTGCAGGCAAATCAATTTCTCACGGGATCACTACCTAGTTGAAACTGCCCAAATCCCTCAGGTTAGAGGAAAGGCTAGTTACTCATTTTCTACAAGACACTGATAAATCAGACAGGTAGCACGCAACTGCAGTGCTGGCTCAGATGGTGAAGAAGTAGAATTAAAAGAAATATAACCACACTTTGATCAACTGTCTTCTGTATAAAAGTAATTAATTTGATGCCTGAATAAAATATCTTCAACTATCCTCAGGAGTAAAAGCAAATTGGTCAAAAAAAAAAGCATCGAACCTTTCCTTGCGGAAATGACAGCCCTAAAATTTAAAAAGGGTTAGTGATGATGATGATGATGATGATAATAAAAATACTAGCAGGCAACATTCCACCATCCGCCTCCTGCAGCATGGTTGGCTTAAAATAATTTAAGTCTCCTTCCTTTTCTACAAATTTATCAGACAAATTTGTCTCCTAGGATGACATTTAATACAGCTGTAAAAGTATTAAAGTCCTGCAACCTTTATCTTTGAACCAATTTGTTTTAAGTAAGTAGAAGGGGAAAAAACCCAAAACAATCACACACACAAAAAACCCCAACCAGACAAAAACATAGCACCACTTCTGCCAGCAATCTGAACAAGCCAGCTTTGCATTTACAATGCAACTTGGTAGCAAAAAAAGTGAAGCAATAAAATTTTCAGATCCCCTCACAAAGATTTCACTAAACCTGTGCCTGGTGAAACACTGAGATGTGAAACAGAACGAGAGACAGCTGTCAAGTTTTCTCTGTGTTCTGCATGCAGAGAGAGACTTTAAGTCTAATGGAAAATAACTGGGCAGAAGCAGCCATGAGTTGTTAAAGAAGTTAAACAAGCCAAACTATCAGAAAAATCCAGCAAACATTTAGTTGCGTACAGACAGTAGCAGATCTTCAAGATAGCTCTAACTGGGAGAAGTCTAACATTTCAGAAGAAATTACTTGATGCCTAAGCATTAAGGATGTGCCTTTACTAAAAAATTACAGCTTGAGCTATTCCAGCACAGAGGGAGGGTCATCTGTGCAAAGCCCTACATATGCAGCTGCATCCTCAATAGTGCTTTACTAGTCTGCATGCTGGGATAGATTTCCTGTGGGAAATACCATGTTTTTACTTGGCTGATCCATGAATGCGTGCGGGATTTGTGTGCCCCAGCAGAGAGCTGCTGTTTGTAATAGTAATACGACAACAATTCTGCGCGTAAAATAATTTCCAAATGGAGTTACTTATTGCTAACATACATCATACCAAAACATTTGGCAGCAAAACCTTTCAGCAGACCGAATTCATTTCTTCTTGTCTGCTTGACATTTCCTCTTCTTTTCTGTCCGCTAAACTTTATAAACAGCTTCTTTAGATATATTTTCCTCAAATTACAGGTTTTACAGGTCAGCCAGCACAACTGTACTAGAAGGCTGATGTCTGCTTTCAGCAAACTTGTGCGCAGGCATACTCCTTATGGCATTGCTGTTCAAATACTGTAGCAAAGCAAAACAGAGCAGACAAATGCAGGATTAAAGAGCTATTATAGGTGTTTTGAAGCATGTAAAAAAATAAATAGACAACAGAGTATTACTCAGGGGTAATTAGGGCATGGCAGTGAAATATTATCAGCTTGGCTGGCCTGCCTTTTAAGAGAAACGCCCATGGACTGCTAACTCAGGCTGAAATGAAACCCTGATAGCCCGTTGCTAGATTACGATAGCCTAGGTTAGACATTTTTGAGGGAGGTTGGGGTATGTGGGGGAACTGATCCCAGGATAAACACAAGCTAGTTCTGTACTGGAGATACACCTTTGCTTTCTAACATCTGGATTTATGCACTGCAGGTAAGGTTGGCTTGGGTATTAACAGTCATACGAGACACACACCTACGCCAGAGCTTCATTTTTTCAATGCAAGGCATTAGGACTTCTGGAATCATACCCACCGATATGGTACGATAAAATGCTCTGCATTTCTTTCCAATGCCTTTTTCCTCACTGCAGGCGGATGGACTACTTATACAAGTATATGCAACACTTGGATAATGCCTATACCCCTAAGGTGGGCTGTAAGCACAATTACAGTCAATCAGGTTGGTGCATCTGGATGGTACTTGGGTTAAAAGCAATAAGTTGACTCTGCAGTGAAGACTGACTGTTACTGCGTGCCTAAACAGAAGCCGCACTCCTAAAAAAGACAACCTTTATTTCATGACGTTCAAAACAAAATAATGTATTTTTGATTGCTCTTGGTATTTCTGGGTAAGTGAAACTTATATTAAGGCAGGGTGCTTTCCAAGTGACAATTCACACTTCTTAAGAAAAAAATAAAAAAGGAACTATTTTTCTCCCGTGTTTTTAAAGATCATGAGAAAAATGCCACTGGTGTCATCCCAAGGACAAAGTTATGGGAAATTCAGGGCCTGCACATGCATCATCTGACATGGGGTTGTCATGGGAGCAAGCTGTCTAGAAGGAAGAATGTAGTAAATTAAATTTGCTGGTGAAGTTTGGAATATTCCACAAGGGCTCAATGACTTTTTCCTGCCAGTTAGAGTAAAGTCAACTTGTTTTAAGGCAAACTGGGCATCTAGTGATAGGCAAACTAGCAGTAATACTTAAAGAAAACATCACCTCATATACTCATGCAACAACAAACAGGAAGAGGTACAATGGTTTTTCATAGGGTCACTTTTCAGCAGGGCTAGTTTCAAACTACAGCTGTGGCTTTCCACCCAGGAGCTACGCATACAACCCTTCACATTCGAAGATCACAGCATTATCTCAGAATTTGCCACGCTCCATTTCCTATTCAAACATCAGTGCTGTATCAGTCTTTCCTTAGAGTGCCATTCTGCAGTGTACCGCATTATAATATCCCAGATCATTTTAGTAATAATACAAAAGCCTGAGAATTAGGTCAAAAGAACATGATGTAAACTCTATTTAAATTCTAAATAACTCTCATGGCAATAAAAATTTCCCATAATTGTACCAGCAAATCCAGGCTGGTAACTTTCCGATCAGCACAGCACTTGCTGTAAGTTTCTTGCCACTCGCTACTCACAGTAACCATGTTACACAGCTACATCGCCTGTACCGAATCTTCATACGATTATTCTCACCTTAACCAAAATTCCGTGCTTTAGCATTGCAAATAAACAATCCTTATGCACATGTACTTTCAATGCAGCAAGAACACTGCTGTGGCACTATTTGGCCTGTGAAAGAAGTTAGCGTAAGTATCAGCAGAGGTAAAGCTTCGATGGCACAGGCTTGGGCAGAAACATTCAAACCAAAGAGGCAGAGTCCTCTGCAGATTTGTACGTGCAAATACTACTACATCTTTATAATTAGCTACACACATTAGTTGGGCTACAGTCCCAGGGTTGCTTTATTCCTGCATCAGTCTGTCTCACTGCTGAAAGGGGAGGTGGTCTGACCTCTCACCTCCACCAACTGCTTGTGCTAGCTGCACAGTGTTCCTCTGGCTGGGCTGAGAGCTGAGCCAGGGAGCGGCCCGGGCTGGAAATTAATCCCCTTACAAGACAGGGAGTGAGGGAGGGGGCAGTGGGGAGAAGAAAAAGGAGAATCAGTTTTCAGCCAGATCAAGCAGCGCTCAGACACTGGCAACAGGGAAATTGCATCTTTCTGCACAGCATTCTGCCAAATTAAGGCAACAAGGTCTCATATTTAGTAGGTTAAAGCTAGCACGTCTAGGCATACACTCTGCAGTCACACTTTTCCTTGTAGAGTTGGCATAGCTGTTGAAAGTCATTAAGGCACACACTTAATTTTTTTTGTGCTTAAATCTAATGCAAATTCTCATCTGCTTAAAGCCAGGCATCCCCTAAAAATATTTACTGAACTGGTGCTTTTCAGAGCAAAAGCTACTGCAGTAGCACTTGACACAATCGTAGTTGAGTCCTGTTAAACTGGCAATGGTCGATTAACAAGACTAAGAATAAATTCTCAAGCTGCCCATGTTATTCCCAGAATATTTTAGATGCACCTTCACCATCCTTCCCTAAACAACAATTTTTGCCACTCTAACTCGGCACCACAGACACGTATCCAAAAGCAAGGTAATTGGAAATAGGAGGAAATACAGGCAGAGCTGCTGGTGAGACAACCCCTCGTGTACTGCCTTTGTGGAGAGCGGCAGAATGCAACAATAGGAGCGGAGGGATGTATTTCACCATGGTTTAATCCCACCGATGTGTCAGATGAAAAGTCATTAATCACCTGACGTACTAATCAGCCACAGAAAGGTAACCAAGGAATCTTTAATAAGGAAGATGGTGGAAAGCAGTAAAGGGGAAACCTAAATTGGTGGCTATTCTCAAGAGCCCAAATCCTACACATTGGTGTGTCCTGACTAGTAGATGTCCACATGGAGCAATAATTCATCCAGGGAAAGA